TGAAATCTCTAAATCTTACACGAGCATGGAACGCTCTCAAAAATTTCAGCTCCCTAGTTTTTCTGCTTTTCGAATTAGCAGTTTTCCAGGCAAAAATTTCGCTTATTTGTGCGTGAGAAGTAAAGTGCGTAAGAGTTAGTGCTCCGCTCCTGAAGTCGTATTTGGCCAGGAAACACTGACAAAACTTCAATACCTTGGTCGCTTGGTTGCTGGATTGCAACGCCTTGCCAGAAGAATACACTCTGAACGTTCTCACAGTGTACTTTTTTACTGACTAATGCAGCACAACAGCGCTGCTCTGCAAAAACGCAGAAAGAAGGGGTTTTCTCAAGACCTAGGTGATGTCTTCTTGATGAGTTTTAGGAAGGCACTAAAAAAACGATACCATTTGCAACGCTTTTGGGCCTTTTCAGTCGGTGAAATAACTTTGCTTAGGCATTCAAGGTCATTTACTTGGTTGTTTTTGTGCGCTTTGCAGTTCATAGATCCCTCTTAGCATCAGCCATGCAGTGATTAGTTTATTAAGAAAAACTGACACTGAAATTTGAACAGTAGGAAGGAAAGGGGACAAGGACTGTGCAGGCCCTCAGTGCCGTGGTGTTTAAATAAAACGTCCTGCTAAGCAAGGCTTCACTTTGGTAGTAACATACGATCGGTTTCTAGTCTTCCAGAAGCAGGCGGCGATCACAGTATTATTTTACAGTTCTTATCTGCTTTTCATGCATCCAAAAAAGACTGTTTTTCTACTACACACAACCTGGATGTCTTTTTCACAATTAGTGAATTACGTTTAATGCGGACTTTCATCGCTGCCGTCGGCACATTGTTCCTCACCGTCCAGCACGTTAGTAACCGATATGCATTCATTCGTACTCATACATCGAAATTCACCGTCTGAGCAGCCCTCCTTTGGCCCTAAAATTAGCAGTAACAGCCGATTCCTGATAAAAATTGATGCATCTAAGGCACGGTATTATTCTTAAGACGTCACCCTGCATATGTCTGATTTGGGTTGACAAGCAGGTGAAGAACTGAGAGTGGATTTTAGTGGTAACAGTTTTTAAGCGAATTCAGTAGTAACATACGATAATGTTTAAACGATGGCTGCAAGCGGAAAAAATCTAAATGAAATCATCAATTATTACTTTCCGCACCGATGTCGACATCAAAAGGAGATGTCGTGATCTGCTGAATTTTTGTTTCATTGCAACCCGGCAGTCCCAACGCGCACAGGTCTAAATAAAAAGTAATCAAAAATTTGTAAAATCGCAGCACCGTCTCGTAGCTAAGATCGACTATCAAATTATGAGCATATAGCCCAAGATAATGATTTTTCCCGTCAAAACTTCAAAGAAGACATTGGAAATTAGCGGAGTCGTATGTGGACAGCGGATGTCATGCTGAAATTTTAGCTTTTACAGTTCATGAGATAATAATTTAGGCGCCAAAAGTTTCACAAGGCCGTACGTGATACCGCAGGTACGGAAAGGCTAATTTTAAATTTGAGAGGTCATACGCGGACAAGGGACATATCCATAAAATTTCAACTTCCTAGATTCCGTGGTTCCCGCGATAACAATTTACTCGCCAAAAGTTTCACGGAGCTGTATTTGTTACCGGTGGGCATGGAAAGGCTGAATTTAAATTTTCTAGGTCGCAGGTGCGCAGGACATACCCAGAAAATTTTAATTTGCCAGCTTCCATGGTTGCCGCGATAATAGTTTTACTCGCCAAAACTTTTACGGGTCGTACGCGTTACCCGCGAGTAAGGAGAGGTTGAATTTAAATTTTGCGGGGTCACGCGTGGGTGGAAACATTCCCCTAAATCTTCAGTTCCCTAGCTTTTTTGGTTCCCGTAGTGAAAATTGTGAACAAGTTGTTGCGGACACACATACACACACGCAAGTAACTCCGTGACAATATGCGTTTTGTATTGCTATTACATAGCACAAAACGCATAAAAAGGCTAGGAGGCTGAAATTTTATGAGCGTGTCCCCGGTTCACATGCAATCCCAAAAATGTAAAATCAACTCCTACAGATATTCATATTTCATGCACGGATACCTGGAACAAAATGTATTAAGGTTTTGGCCGAAATACAATTTCTTGAGACTCAGGCATGACAGGAATCTAGATTTTTGTTCATTCATTTTCTAAAAAATTTTAATTCGCCCATCTTTTGTGCCTAGGCTACGTATGCGAACACGCCAGAGATATTTTTGGCATGATGCAGTTTTGCGAACTGGTCAAGTTAGAATAGGTGCCAATGCTTTCTGCTCAATTTATAAAACTATCTTCGTCCTTCTCTCTCATCAACTGAAAAAGCTAGATAAATAGCGGCGTGCACCAGGGGTTTTGTACAACTTTACGTAGCGAACGGTTGTTCAGTTCTATCTGGCTGATGCTTTTGCAACCTTGTCCAGGTGGTGCTTGTGCAGCTCTGTTCAAAGGAAATTAGCTGTTAAAAGTGTTCACTGCATTATTGTTTGATACGTTACATCTCAGTTTTGGCGCCAAGACTTTACTATTTACAATTCTTACTTTATTAATATTGGTGTCAAAATTTTCGCATATTCATACCACGGAATTAATGTTGCACAGGAACCGAATTTACACACAGACACGAATGCTGTTCTGAAATTTCAGCTTTCCTGCTTCCGAGTTATTAATTTGCCAAAAATTTCACGCGTCCCCTCGTGAGATCTAAATATGCGAGGAAGCTGAATTTGAGTTTGCGAGGTCAAACGCCGAAAAGAAAAACCCCTTAAAATTTCAGCCTCTTAGCTTTCCTGGTTCTTGAGTCATTAATTCTGAAGCAAAAATTTTACGGACGATGAATTTGGACGAACGGACGAACGGACGTTGAATTTGAAGTTGAATTTGAAGCCTAGACGAACGGACGATGAATTTGGGTTTGCGAGATCAAAACCGAGTAGGGGGATCCCCTTAGAATTTCAGCTTCCTAGCTTCTTTGGTTTCCGAGTTGGAACTACCGGATAAAATGTACTTGGAACACACACACAGACAGGGTTTCCAGAGTATGGGTTTTGTGCAATTGCGCAGCATAAAACGCATAAAAACTGTAATTTTATGAGAACGTC